TATATATATATATATGTATAATGTTGTGCTCATTTTATATGTATACCTAACATTTAGCGTCACTTTTCAAATATTAAATGTTCTCGATGCTAAACTCTTAAATTCTCGTTAAAAACTCGTAAATCAAGTAAACGACGAGTTTGTTCGAAGAAGTTTAATCGGAGAAAGCTTGTAATTCTCAGTAGTATTGACATAATCTCTGATTATAACTTACAAAAGCCTTATTAAATAAATCACAAAAGTTATTACAAAAAAAAAAAACAAAAAAAAAAGAAAGAAAGCCGAAAACAAATAATACTTATTATATATTCGTATATATACTATTGGACACTATAATTTTTCATTAGTACGTCACTCGCCAGGTATGATTATGTTATGTGTCTAATTCTGGCTTCAAGTTTTTCCCAAAGATTTTTGTGATCGAAGTCGTGAACGCGATGACACAAATTATATATGTAATAGGAGATCGGCCACGGTCGTAATGACATGCGAGGAAGAAAGGAAACAATACGGCAACAGCTGTTGCTCCGTCCGATGCGACGCGACGCGACGCGACGTCCGTCTCCCGCGTCTCCGCCGACCTGCTCCGACGACCGCGAGGATAACGACGATGACGACGCATTCGCATCGAATTAGAACGATGACCTACATAAACGCCGCGCCGGATAATAGGAAGGCGAATGTAGACGGAGTTTAAACGTCGTGTCGCGTCGCTAAATAGCTAGAGTACAATCAATGTTTTTTACATGTATGTATTTTCGATAATGAAAGAGGGAAAAATACGTGAAATATAGAAAAAAAAAGAGAAAGAAAAAACTTTTAAAAGTAAACAGCATGAATCTGAAACTATTATTAGAATTTAAAATTACAAAGTGAGTATTGTTTATCACAAAGAATCGCATGCGATAAGTAAAAATCAAAAGTAAAAATGATAGAATCGATAGCGCTGGATAGAGAAATAGGAAGTAGAAAAAAAGTTAAATTTAATGGTAAATAAAATAGTTTACTATTTGGGAAAAGCTTCGATGAAAAAGACGCAAACAGAACAAAATGTATATATATATATATATAGCAAGAAAAAATAAAACGTAAAAAATATTGTTTGAAAATAAATTTTTGTGGAAGTAAATATTTGTATCGACGCTAGTATTAAACGCTACATTTTATTAAACGTATTTGAAAAAATATAAAAACACTCGTTTAAGCATGTCTAAAAATCATTAAAAAGAAAAAAAGAGATTTATTCTATTATACTATAGAGTACAACGAATAACGAAATAATGTAAGCACAGAGCTGAATTTTTTGTAGCTACGAGACAAGAGAATATGAGAGAGAGAGAGAGAGAGAGAGAGAGAAAGAAAGATGAAGGAGAAAAGAATCGAAAGCGACGAAAAGAGATGACAAACACAAGGTAGCCACTGGATATTCGTGAGTGCCTGCAGCTCGTACGATAATCGATAAAATTGAATTACGCGCCGCTGAACATCGCGATAGCGGCCGGCCGGTCGGTTCTCACCCCCGGTGTCGCGGAGGTTCTCTTTGTTCGAAACCGACAATCACCGACAGCCCTGTCCGATATATATATATATA